CTTATGCATGCTAGGCCAGTGCTCTACCACTGCTCTACATCTCCAGACCTTTCTATTTTTTTGAGACAGGGTAGCTAAGTTGTACAGGCTGGCCTCAAATTGTAATCCCTCTGCCTTAGCCTCCCCAAGTAGCTGGGATTACAGGTGTATACCACCAAGCCTAGTAGATTGTAGTTCCCCTTCCCCTCCCCCTCCCCTTCCCCTTTTCCTCCTTTTCCTTCCTTCCTTCCTTCCTTCCTGTCTGTCTATCTCTTCCACTGGGGATTGAACCCAGGGCCTTAGTGCTGAGCTACATCCCCAGGACATTTTATTGTTTTATTCTGAGAAAGGATCTCACTAAGTTGCTGAGGCTGGACTCAAATTTATGATCTTCCTGCCTCAGCTTCCCAAATAGCTGAAATTACAGCCATTGTGCCCATCTGGTTTTTAGTTTTTGGAACACTGGAGGAGATACCTATTATGGTATCTTTGGGAAAGGGGATCTCATCATGATTAGCTTAGCATCATCTATTGGTTTAACAAACATTAAGTAGTAAGGTTTCCACCACCAACTGCTTCTTATGGTTTTTTTTTTGGTATCAGGGATCGAACTTGGGACCTTGTGCTTGCAAGGCAGGCAGTGGAACCACTGAGCTAAATCCCCGGCCCTGCTTCCTACGGTTTTGTTGAGACTGGCAAAAGATTAAGTTTTGTTTTTCAGAAGGGATTTATCTGTATGACATTTTCTTTAACCAACACGGAGGGGCTGGTTATGTAGCTCTGTGGTAGAGCACTTGCATAGCATGCATGAAACCTTGGGTTCAATCTCTAGCACTGCAAAAACAAAAAGAAATGTTGTGTCCCCTTGTGATTACTGCAAATAACTCCAACCACTTAATGTTCTGGCTTTCCCTGATTACTAACATTCTTTTACAAGTTCTTTCTGAAGCAGGAGATTGCCATGAGTTTGAGGCCAGCCTGGGCTACATAGCGATTTCAAGGCCAGCCTCAGCCTAACCGACATAGTGAGACCCTTTCTTAAAACAAACAAAAGTCCAGGGATTTAACTCAGTGGCACCACACCTACCTCACAAGCGCAAAGTCATGAGTTCAATCCTTGGTACAAAAAAACCACAAAAAACCCATAATGGGAAAAAACAAAAATACTGAACTAATAGGTGAAAAAATGGTATTTGTTTCAATTTGCATTTTTGATTACTTATACAGTGGAATATTTACTCATATTCATTAGCTATTTTTTTTTTTTTTTTTGGTACCAGGGATCGAACTTGAGACCTTGTGCTTATGCAGCAGATGCAGGAACCACTGAGCTAAATCCCCAGCCCAATTAGCTATTTTTCTTCTTTGATTCATTTATCTGCCCTCTGCTTATTATTCTATGAGCATCTGAGCTTTTCTGATTGCTTTATATAAAGCTTTGTAAGTCTGCCCTATATCCTAAATCAGTAATCACTAGGACAAGCAGCCTTTCTGTAACACTCTTGCTTATTGCCATACAAGTATACACTCTTTCTTTAGAAAATCTGCAAGCTCATGAATATCTCTATTACTAGATTTCTAAATGACTAACTTTAAATGTTTTATTGTTGTTCTGTTCTGACAGTACTGAGATCAAACTCAAGGATATTCTCTTCTACCACTAAAGTATATCCCCAGTCCCTCTTTTTTGGGGGGAGGGGTAATTGGGGATTGAACTCAGGGCCTTCACACCTCAGCTTTATCCTAACCTTTTTTTTTTGGTACCGGGGATCGAACTTGGGTCCTTGCACTTGAGGGGCAGGTGGCGGAACCACTGAGCTAAATCCCTGGCCCTACTCAACCTTTTTTTATTTTGAGACAGGGTCTCACTAAGCTGCCCAAGCTGAGCTTGAACTTGTGATCCCTCCTGCTTCAGCCTCCCAGAGTGCTGGGATTACAGGTGTGTGCCACCATGCCATGTTATCTCTAGCCCTTTTTATTTTGAGACAGGGTCTCACTAAATTGTCCACCTGGGCTTGAATTTGCTAACTCCTGCCTCAGTCTCCCAAGTAGCTGGGATTATAGGTGTGTGCTACCCACTTGGCTAGCTTTAAGTATTTTCTGGAACAATACTAGATAACTGACCCAAAGGAAGCACTTCTAACCTCTAATTTCCAATGACTGATAAGAAGACCATAAGGGAGAAATCAGATCCTTTCAATCCAACCAAGAAGGAACAAAAATGGGAGACTTATCTCCTACCACTTCCTTTAATGAATTATATGTGTCCTATACAAGTTCAGTTCCCTGAACTTGACCCATTCTTTCATTCTTCCATGATATTAAACACTCTGGTCTCTGCCCAGAATGTGCCATTTCCATCTGTCCAATCCTTCACCTCCTTCCTCCAGTTCTGTCTCTTCTATCTGGCCAACAGAGCTATTTGGGCTGTTAAATATTACAGGAGAAAGTCACATAATCATGTGGATTCTTTGTTGAGACCTCAGTATGGTAAGCAATTCTTTCAAATGCCCTTAGTTTCCTCTTCTAATTTGATTAAAGAGCTACATAAGACTGCTGTTTCCTTGCTTAATTTGTTCAATGTTTTCCCACTTAGGGTAAAGTAAAAATTTAGGGGGGGGGCCTTTTTTTTTGGTACTGGGGATCGAACTCAGGACTTTGCACTTGCCAAGGCAGGCGTGGTGCCACTGAGCTAAATTCCTGGCCCTGCTTTTTGTTTTTTTAAGACAAGGTCTCACTATGTATTTCAGGCTGGTGTTGAACTCACTATGTACCCCAGGCTGGGCTCAAACTCATGGAGTTCCTCCTCCTCCGCCTCTCAGGTGCTGGGATTACAGGTGTGTGCCACCACACACAGCAGTAAAAACTTCTGAGTACTGCATACAAGGCTCTGTGTAATTTGACTCCTGTCTACCTCTAAACATATAACATGTGCATTAAATTGCAGCCACACCGTTTATTTTTTAAAGCTATCATGCAATTTTAGACCTCTCTTTACATATTGCTTCTCTTTCATCTAGAACATTTTCTACTCCACATTCTTTGCCTAGTAAACACCACTGATCCTTCAGAACTGAAGGAACTCACTGATCCTTAACAAAACTGACTTGGAGGTTTGAAAAATGGTGGAGAAGAGATCAACAGCCAAATATAGCTTCTCCAAAACCTGGAATTGAGACACTTAGAAAACAACTTAGCAAAGAGACAAAGAAGTAGAGGTCCAGGAATCAAGAAAGAGCTCACAGGAAAAACTACAACTATGTAGTGAGACCCTGTCTCAAAACAAACAAAACAACAACAAAACTGAACTTCTGTGCCAGGCATGGTGGCACATGCCTGTAATTCCAGCACTTGGGAGGCAAAGGCAGGAGGACCGCTGGAAGTTGGAGGCCAGCCTAGGGTACATATTGAGTTCAAGGTTAGTCTGAACTACATGGTAAGACCCTGTCTCAAAACATCAAAAAAACAAACAAGCAAAATAACCCCTGAACTTCAGTAAGGCTGCTCATACACATCTATAATCCTAGCTACTTTGAGGCTGAGGCAGATGGATTGCAAGTTTAAAGCCAGCTGAGGCAACTTAGCAAGATCCTGTCTCAATAAAAAAGGGCTGGGTATATAGTTCTTTAGTAGGACACCCCTGGGTGCAATACCCAGTACTGCAAAACAAAAACAAAAAACCCCACAAAAAACAAAAACTGAACTTCATTGGTTCATTTATGATTTCTTTTTTTTTTTTTTTGAGACAGGTTCTGTGTAGCTCAGGCTGGTCTCAAACTCCTGGTGATCCTCCTGCCTCAGCCTCCTAAATGCTGGGATTACAGGTGTGCACCACCACATCCAGGTTCATTAGCTTGTTTATGAAAGCTTCCCTAACCCTTAAGTCAAGATACTCCTTAATCTCCTCTAATGTGCTTTGTACATCCTTCTCTTACAGACCTTTCAAGCTGCATTTTAACTGCCTCCATCAAGTAAACTGTGAATTACTACAGAACAGCGACCATCTTTTCCATCAGTAGGTTAAGTAGCTACCACAGAACCTAGTGTATATTATTCAATCAATTCACATACTGAGCAAAACTCTATGCACCAAGGGTGCATATACAGCCATACACTTCTCTTAGCTCCATCTAAGGGCCTGGGGCATAGGTAAGTTTTCACATTTTAGAGAAATGCAGTGGTGACTCAAAGCCCAAAGTAATATCCATTTGATTTTTATTCACATCTCATTTTTCTATGTTTTGAAGAATTTTAAAAGAATAGACTACTTCATCATTACAAGTTTAACAGCAAACTTTACAGAACATAAACTAAAATACAGAAATTCCTCGTTTAACGACCCACCTGTTTAAACGACTGTTCAGACTTTAACTGAGGCACATTGCTTGGACTTACAACTCATCTTTTTCTTTTTACAGTTCTGTACATCTTACTTATAGAGCCTCAATGTCTTTTTTTGTACAGTACACCCTGTTTATACCGTACTATAATTTTTGCTGATTGTACTGTAGTTTTATGTTCTGTTAGACATTACAGTACTGCATGTAAGAGTTATGCAAATAAAAGCAAAGTCATCAAGTTGGAGTTTCCTTTGACCATTTGTTCTGAATATTGTAATGTATGCACTATATGCAATTCCTCATTTAGTGACCAATTTGTCTGTATGTGCTACTTTGAAGACAATAACAGCCTAATTCACTTGCTGATTTAGCTGTCACTGCTCAAGGCTGCTTTATGTGCTTAAAAATTTTTTTTTGGTACCAGGGATCAAACTCAGGACCCCGCGCTTGCTAGGCAGGTGCTGTGCTGCTGAGTTAAATCCCCAGCCCATATGTGCTTAAATTTTATTTATTTGTTTATTTATTTAATTTATTTATTTAGGTACTGGGGATGGAACTCGGAACCTTGCACTTACGAGCCAGGTTGCAGAACCACTGAGCTAAATCCCCGGTCTTAAATTTTAATAATAGTAACTAATAGTGCATGGAGAATGGATAGAGAGAAAAAAAAGAAATACCCACCGTTGTACTTCACACTGTTTGCCAGAATAAGGTTTACATCATCTAGAAAGCTCTCTCGACTCTGGTACTTGTGCTTGGAGATATTCTATAATGAAAAGCATCAGGTACTCAGATACAAACATAAAAAGGAATTGATTAAAAACATTTTTTTGTTTTCTTTGTTGAGATACGATCTTGCTATGTAATTTAGGCTGACCTTGTACTCATTATGTAGCCCAGGCTGGCCTTGAACTTGTATTGATCCTCCTGCCTTAGCCTCCCAAGTGCTAGGACTACAGGTGTGTGCCACCACACCTGCCACCTGATCATTTTTGATCAAATTACTCACCTTACGTATAGTCTCTAAATCCATTGGATTGATAATCACTTTATAATAATCTGGAACAAACTTCTTATTAACTGGGTGATGAAATGGCCAAGACTAATAAAAAGAAAGCACAGGAAATTAAGTGAAAACCATTCATTATATCAAATACTGTCAACCTCTGCTGGGTCACAAATATTCCTGACGAAAGCTATACTCTTCCCAGAAAAACACATAATCATACAAAGCTTTGTATATAATTTAAGGGGTTCATGGATTCCTCTAAGGGTTCCTTAATAGGGTAAGAACTCCACATTCAAAATTAAAATTTCTCATTCCTGGGTTCAGTACCCACCATCACAAAAAAATAGTCCCATTCACAAGTTTTATAGCATGACCCATATAGAACATATGTCTGTAGTACAAAAGAAAAATCATTTCCGAATTTCTGGGAAGTTATCATTACAACAAAATGTCCATAGAATCAATATAATGGAGGTACGCCCTGCCATACAATTGCAAATGGAAAAAAAAAAAGACAACAAACACTGGATAATTATCAAAGTGTTGGTTTTATACAAGCACCTCTAAATCAAAGGCCTTCTGTTATGAGGCATCCTTTCTCTAGATGGCTATTCAGAAGCATCAAAATACTGAATGTCAACAACAGAAAGCAAGAACCTCTCTAACCAAAATATCCTGGCCTTTTCTATTTCAATGATAATATATTCACACAGCAAAGAGGATGATATTTAAAATTACATATTGGTATTTATTCCTATTGACATATACCAAGGCTCAGAACTGCTAACTTACATCTGGAACTGCCATCATTTTCTGGGTGACAATGTTGTCCAGAATGAATGAAAATGCCACTTGGTCATCATCATCCAGCAAGGGGTTGATAGCTTTCTCTAAGCGAGCCAATTTGTCTTCTTTCTGAAATAAAACAAACAAACAACAACAACAACAACAAAAAGCCAAGATAGAGGTTTCCCTGAGGTGTGACCACCATAGAAAAGCTAAGAATAATTTAAAGTTTGGCTAGCTGTCTATGACTTTTGCCCTAAAAAGCTTAATTTTGAATCATCTATTATTCAGTTCTAGACACAAAGTCTAAATAAATGATACTGCAGTAAAAGGGTCAAAAGGAATGTGTTCACAACTTCCTTAGGTATTCTACATTCTATCCTTGTACAGCACAAAAATACCTATCTCTGGGTAACAACAGCTTAGCTCCCACAATAAAAGGCTTTACTATCAAGTTAGGCTTTACTATCGTGCTTTCTGTAAAACTATTGCTGAAAACACAACATTACTACTTTTTTTTTTTTTTTTCAGGTTATGAAATCGGTTTATTGGTACATTGTAGGTATACAACACAATACTGAGTCTCATTGGGAATTGCACTTTTTTTTTTTTTTTTGAGACAGGTGTCGCTGTGTAGAGTTCAAACTGGCACTGAACTCACTATGTAGCCCAGGTAGGCCTTGAACTCGTGACAATCCTCCAGCCTCAGCCTCCCAAGTGCTGGGATTACAGGTGTGTGCCAATATGCCCAACTGACTAGTGACTTTTGTATAAGGGAATTTAACCCAATTCATTTCTGACTCTGTACTAGGAAAAATTTTATACTTCCATTGTTCTACATCTTCAACATTTACTCTTATCAGTAATTCTAGCCTTTCTAGTGGGTACACAGTGACATTTAATGGTGGTTCAAATATGCATCTCTCCAATGATCAAGTTGAGAATCTTTTCATGTTTACTAGCCAGTTATTCTCTTTTGTGAAATTTCTACTTCAGTATTATAATCATAATTGTATTTCTAGCCAGGTATGGTGGCGCACTCTCTCGGCACTTGGGAGGCTGAGACAGGATTGCCACAAGTTTGAGGCCAGCCTTGAGCTACATAGCAAGACCCCATTTCAAAATACAAAAAAAAAAATTATATTTCTGTAAACTTTTAAGGTGCTATGATTGTTTTTTTCTTTTTGGTACTGGGGATCAAACTTGTTCATCTTTTAAAAAATTAAAATACCTCCTTGCTAAAACATTGCCTAGTCTCTTTTAGCTACCAGTGAATTCCTGGGAAGTCACTTTCCTTTGCCCTCTCTAAAGTTATATAGATTCTGGATCTTGATCCTACTTTTACTATTTAATAGTTATGATGCCCACAGCAAGTTATTTTATTCTATGGACCTAGCTTTTCCATCTACAAAAGGATTAGCTTATGTAATTTCTAAAGTCCCTTCCAGCTTTCACTTACTAAAGATCAAGCACTCCCACATATACTCTTCCTTCTGTGAAATTCCCTATTCCTTAAACTTCCCTACCCCACCTTCATATACCACAGCCTTTCTCTCATTCTAAGTATCTTACCTCTTTGAGTTTCTCATCACAGAGATCCAGCATAGATTGAGAGATCTGGGTCAATGAGTGCTTAGGCCCTACAGAAAAAAGAGTAAGAAATGAGCTCATTAAAAATGGAGGCAATAAATAGAATCCTAACTCCTGCTTTACTAATTCCTGTTACAATGCTACTATTAAAACATTAAAAGATTTCCTTCTTGCCTTAAAAAAATAAATGGAGACAAAACCTGCCAAAGCCTCGCCACCTTTTTAGCACGCCACCTTTTCAGCATGTTTAAGAACATAGCTGGGGGCCGGGGATGTGGCTCAGTGGCACCACAAGGGCAAGGTCCTGAGTTCAATTCCTGGTATTGCAAAAAACAAACAAACAAACAAACATAGCTGGGCACCCAGAGGTGCTCTGGCTGGGTACAGCGGCACATGCTTGTAATCCCAGAACCCAAAAGGCTAAGGCAGGAGAATCACTGCAAGTTTGAGGATAGCCTGGGCTACACAGTAAGTTCAAGGCCAGCCTGGACTACATAGTGAAAACTACATAGTTCTATCTCAAAAACTAAATGACAACAAAATAAAACCCCACCTAATATGCGCAAGACACCAGCTTAGCTATTGGGTTAGACAGATACACTAGTTTTATCTCTATTATTCAGTGCCTAATACCTAACAGGTATACAATATCAATGAACAAACTAAATTCTTTTATTTACTGTATTTGTATGCATCCATACATGGGAGTATTACAACTGCCTTTAATATCGTGAAAATAATTTTATGGATGGGAATGACAATTTTTAAAAAGATGGCTAAAGAAATCAATGATTAATTTATAATTTTTCTGCACTTAATAGATACAATTTATAACTGTAACTTTTGTTTGCATAACTTGTGATGTGTGATGCTCTTGAATCTGGCTAATCCAAAGCTTTTGTTATTAAAAAAAATCTTCATATATCATATTATCATTTCAGTTTCCTTGAAATCCTTATAGTTTCAGAAAATCCTTGAACCATCTGACCTATCTCTTACACTCTCTGAATATGCTTGCCCTGATGTAAGCTTATCATAGGAATAATGAAAACATTTTAATTTAGCCAATAATTCTACTTCCTGCAGTCTCTACTCCTTGTATTAATGTTCTCCATAACCTAAACCTCAACCTTATTCTCAACTACTAATTATTTAATTCAGCATTCATTTGGTTATTTATTCAACAAATGTTTAATGACTCTGACATGTCCAATGATGAGAATGTAAGAAAATTATATCGTACCTACTATAGAAAATTTTTGGATTAGTGAAAGAAAATGACTTGAAAGTAAATCATTGCAACACATTATTTATGGATGAAATGGTACAAATATGGAAATATATTCTAAACAAGACTGGCCAAATACTGACAAATTGTTCAACTGGGTGGATAGGTACACTGAGGTTTATTTTCTCTTCTCTCTACATCTATGTCTAAGTTTCTATAATACAGTTTTAAAAATGTGTACTAGCCAAAAAGTACAGGCAACTGATGAACAGGTAAAATGTGGTATTATCTATACAATGAAATATTATGTGATAATATAAAGAAATGAAGTATTGACACATGCTATAATATGGATGACATGTTGAAATTGGTGCTTTTTTGTTATTTTTTTCTTTTGATGGCACTGGGAGTTGAACCCAGGACATCATACATGGTAGGCAAGCATTCTACAACTAAGCTACATCCCCAGCCCCTTTTTTGCTTAATTTTTGAGACAGGGTCTCACTAAATGCTCAGGCTGGCCTTGAACTTGCAATCTTCCTGCCTTAGCCTCCAAACAGCTATGAGTACAGGCATGTACCACACACAGTTTAAAATGGGCCATTTTAAATGGGTAAACTGCCTGGCAAGCGTGAAGCCCTGAGTTCAACTCCCAGTACCAAAAAATAAAATAAAATAAAGAAAATTAAATGGGTAAACTGTATGGTAAATGACCTTTTTTTTTGGCGGTACAGGGGATCGAACTCAGGACCTTGTGCTTGCGAGGCCAGCACAGCGCCACTGAGCTAAATCCCCAGCCCAATGAACTGCATTTTAATAAAGATGCTGTTTGAATTTTTTAAAATTCTGAAATATGGCCAAAAGGTCCAACAACTAGGGGGATGCCAGTACAGTACTTCAGCAGAAGGTATGTGTAGGGTTTTAAGGCACGAATGAGAAGAAAAAAGGCAAAAGAATATATGCAGCATGGATATACCCAGATTAACTTATTGTGCCACATTTTAACTGCATGACCACCTTACAAAGTTATTTAAATGATAGCAGCCTGTATGTTGATCCTGAATATGAAGATAAAGATAACAGCAGTACCCATTTCAAACATGAAATGAAGAAAATAATTCAAGTGTCACTGATGGTATTACTAATATTATTATCAACATCTGGTATGAGAAAGAATACCAGGGACAGGCGTGGTAACCCATGCCTATAGTCCCAGTACTCAGGTGGCTGAGGCAGGAAGACTGCCATGAGTTCGAAGCCAGCCTGGACTGTATACTGAAACCCTGTCTCAAAAAAATAAAAATAAAAAAGAGAGAGAGAAAGAGAGAGAGATAGAGAGAGAAAGTATAGCCAGGAATGGTGGTGCACACCTATAATCCCAGTGCTTGAGAGGCTGAGACAGGAGGATTGCCATGAGTTCGAGGCCAGCCTGAACTACATAGTGAGTTCAAGGCCAGCCTGAACTACATAGCAAGACCCTATCTCAAAAACCAAAAAGAAAGAAAGAAAAAAGAATAAACACCAGAGGAAAATATAAATCTGTGATAAATTTTTAAATTACTATTTTTTTAACTAACATTTCTACTTTAATGACCCATGGGTACCCTTAAGTTCTGTATCTTCATAGTCTGTGCTTACCTTCTCACTCCCCTTACAATCTGATTTTTGCTTAATTATCCTTGTAACTTAAATGACAATGGGACCTAACAAATTTATTCTTCCCTTATACAAGCCTGGCACTCTACTCAGCATTGGAAATATCAAAATAAATAACACAGTTTTTCTAGAAGATCACAAAGTGGCCAGACATAATTTTGGCATAGTAAGAGCTATAAAAGTTGATTTAATTGAGCTAGGAGGCTCAGAGGAGAAAAAAATGAATATTTGGGGCAATTTAAGTCTATAAAGGGATGACATGAGTTGGCCTAGAGATATGAATGGATATTCACCAAAAAAGGGAAGTAGAAAGCATTTCATAAGAGAAGGAAAAGACTACAAAGACAGGAAGAAATAGCATGGGATATTTAAGGAACTATAATGTTGAGTGTGGCAGGAGTCTATAGAGAGTATAGAAGACAGTCACTGGAGATGAGACTAGATAAACAGGTTGGGGTGGTTTGTGAAAGGTTTTAAAATCTAGATACTACTGTTGTCCGATGTTTACAAGTGAGAAAACTGAGGTGGCTAGGAGAGGTTAAATAACTTATCCACGTAACTCAATTAGTAAGTGGCAATGCAATGATCCATACTCTCTCTACTCTGAATCTCTACACTTATAAACCAGAGAACATCCTTTACATGCAGAAGCTGTACTGTTTCCCCTCTTTAAGACTTAGAAACAGCTGGGCATAGTAGTGCACACCTGTAATTCCACTACTCGGGAGGCTGAGATAGGAGGATCCCTGTGAGTTCGAGGCCAGCCTGAAAACTACAAAGTGAGATCCTGTCTTAAACGACTCCCACCAAAAGACTCAGAAACAGATTTCTTCCTCCTTGCCTTTTCAGCTTTTAACAAAGTAGACACATAACTGCTCCTATACCACATCTGTGAAGTGAATCAAAGACATACACGGCAAATATGGTCAGAAGCACATACAGTATTTTGCATAGGCTCTCTCCCCCACTCAATGTATCTCTTTTCTACTTACCTAGGCCTATTTCTTCCTCCCACTACTCCCTATGCAACTATTTCATTTCAACATAAAGACTCCAAATTCTCTAGAGAATACAGCAACAATAAGAAGCAATATATAGTAAATGACATAAAATGTAAATAAATTACCTGATTTTCATACCCACAATTAAACTGTAGTTTTTTCAGTCAGTCTAATCTAGTCTGAATTTAGGACCAGTAAGGGATAATTAAGGATCTGAGAGGTGACTTTTGCAGCCAAGGAATAAATGATCTTTACCATTGTATGTTGCACTGTTTTTCACAATTAGCTCCAAATGTTCTCTGAACTCTTCCCGAGATGGGTAGAGACGCTTGCGCACATTTTCACGAAGTGTCTGTAAATCCATTGGTCGAGTGATGATTTTGTAGTAGTCCTTTACAACCTTTGCATTGACTGGAGTGTGGAAAGGGTAGGTCTGTGAAAACAGAGCCAGAATCATTTATGAGCAAGGAACACTTGCCAGAGCCCATACCTGAAGACTGTGACATTTTGCCCATCTACCTGGCCATTAACTTTTTATTTTTTATTTTTTGGTACCGAGGATTGAACTCAGGACCTTGTGCTTGCAAGGCAGGCAACAGAACCACTGAGCTAAATCCCCGGCTAGCTTTCAAAGGAATCTTTTTTTATGGAACAGATCTATTCCCTTTACTAAACTACTAAAAAACAACAACAAAAAACAAATATCAAAAAACTACATCCCAAAGAATTAGGAGTTCTAAGTACACTACTGTCCTCTATGTATCTGAAATCACAGGTAAAACAAAGGGCCTTGCCATCCCAACTGTAGATAGCTGATGCAATGAACTCACATTTGGAAGATCTCTCATATCATTGATGATAGACTCTAAGATGGAAGACAGTGTTACCATAGGGTCTGTCCGGCGCCGGTGGATGGACTTATGAGGTCTCTAAGAAACAAGAAATCAGAATGCTAGCTGGGGATTTAGCTCAGTGGCACTGCACCTGCCTTGTAAGTGCAAAGTCCTGAGTTTGATTCCCAGTACGGGGTGGGGTGGGGGGGATCAGAATACTTTGACCAAAAAACAGAAATCTTATAGTGAACAATATTTTTCTTAGGGAAAGGCTACAGGGAGACTCTCAGGCTGTCAAAGCCATGTCACAGAAGGCTAGGGAAATTAATGAGAACCTATCTGATCAGAAGGAGGCAATGTAGAAACTCACATTCAAATAGTCACAGTGAACAGTGGTTCCAACCCGTCGTTTCTTCTTGGGAGGAAGTTGCTGTTTAGGGAACTTGAGAACCAGGGATTTTCTGCGAACCTCATCAGCACTGCAATTAATAATACTTTCATAGCATGCAGCCCCTACTTCCTAAGAAAAAAGCAACTACAAGAAAAAGCCAACTGTATAACTTCAGCAGTATATAACCAAGGATAACAAATTCTAAAAACATCTTGAACCCATTTATAGGTTTGTTAAATAACAGCATTGGTATAGTAACTCTGAAACTACTTTGTACTTATAAGGCAGAACAAATGAATAAATATATTAATGTTAATAATCAGAGAAAAGACACAAATATGAAATGGGGGAGGACGAGGACTCAGTCTGTAGGTACTATATAATTTGAATCAAAAGTATCAGTATGAAGTTGTGATTTAAGTAGCCAAGCATGGTGGCACATGCCTGTAATCCCAGCACTGGGGAGGCTGAGGCAGGAGGATCACCTGGAGTTTAAGGCCAGCCTGGTCTACACAGTGAGTTCAGGGTAGCCTAAACTACATAGCGAGACCCTATCTCAAAAAAAAAAAAAAAGAAAAAGAAAAAAAGTTGAAATTTAAAATACATGTAGGGGGCTGGGATTTAGCTCAGTGGTGGCACTGCCTGTCTCGCAAGCACAAGGTCCCAAGTTCGATCCCCGGTACCAAAATAAATAAATAAATAAAATACATGTAGAGAAGAGTGAGGCAGGGAAGGGGTGTGGGATAAAAAAAGGAATTGAGATGTGTTATATACATGTACCAACTCTACACAAGCAAAGTAAACAATATGTATTGCAAACATGTACAAGAAAAGGGATCAAGAGATGGGGGGGAGGGCCGGGGATTTAGCTCAGTGGTTCTGCTGCCTGCCTTGCAGGCACAGGGTCCCAAGTTCGATCCCCAGTACCAAAAATAAAGAGATGGGGAGGAGAGGGGATGAAAAAAGGAATTAAGATGTATTATGTACATGTACAAACTTCCCAAAAAGAATGTAAACATTATGTACTACACACATATACTAATAAACTAAACTAAAATACGTGTACTTCCTAGTTCTGTTCTCTAAAAAAAGTTTAGAAGCAATGACATGTCAGTGGTAGGATCATATCTAATACCTCTAAATACTGATCCTTCTAAAAAGGAACTCAGTTTCCTTAGAAAAATGGCTGACTCTAGGTCCAGGACAAGGAAAATTCAAAGAATGCCAGGAGCAAAGAAGTTCTCCAAGATTATAGAGTCATTTCAAAAGAACATAGGATCTGGCTTAAATGAGTCAAATTTAGGACACTACACATCAAAATTAATGATGTTGCCAGGCATGGTGGCACACGCCTGCAATCCCAGCACTCGGGAGGATGAGGCAAAGGACTGCTGTGAGTTTGAAACCAGTCTGGGATAACAGTGAGTTCAAGGCCAGCCTAAACTATATTAAAGGAAGAATTTCAGGATCCATAGTAATACACTTAAAGGGAGAAATAGAAGAAATGCTAGATTTAGAAAACCCACCTTTTTTAACCCTCAATGAAATAACGGAGTCAGGCAATGATCGCTAAAACCTACAGTAAGATTGTTAGGGAAAGGGACAGTCACCAAAGATTAATTACAAAGGAGAAAATACAGCTTTATTCCAAGACCTGAAGATAGTGGGAAATCCTAACATGTGCTTCCTGAGGTAACAGAGGAAGTATACAATATCATCTATGTAAATGTCTGGCCAAAAATATTTAGTCTGAATCTAATCCATTAAGAAAACAATCAGACAAATCCAGAAAGTGAGTTATGAGAAAATTGGCATGGTTTCTTCAACAATTTCAGTGTCATGAAAAATAGCTGGACGTGGTGGCACATGCCTCTAATCCCAGCACTGGGGAGGCTGAGGCAGGAGGATTGCCATGAGTTTGAGGCCAACCTGGGCTATACAGAGTTCTAGGCCAGCCTGAACTGCATAGCGAGACCCTGTCTCATAAAACAAAACAAAACAAACAAAAAATAGCAAAAAAAAATCAGTATCATGAAAATATAAAAGGTGGAAAAGACAGTTTTAAATAAAGAGACTCAAAATGTATTTAATGTCTGGACTCAAGACTGGATCCAGAATTGGGGAGGAGAAATAAAGGACATCGAGACAACTAGAAAAATTTGAATAAGGTCAAATTATTACATATTACTGAATTACTGTTAATTTTCTTAGGTATTATGAGAATAGTACCATGTTGGTATATCCCAAGTGCTAAAGAACTTGGCAATGAAACATGATGCTTGCAACTTACAAATAGTTCAGAAAAAAAAGCATATAACAATGAAGCACATGTGGCAAAATATGAACTACTGAACTTAGAAGAGTGTATTGTATTCTTTTGTTGTTGTTGTTGTTGTTATTTTTGAGTAGGGGTTTTTCTATGTAGTTCAGGTTAGCCTTGAACTCCCAAGGATCCTTCTGCCTCAGTCTTCGACATCCTTGGATTACAGGCATGCACCACCACACCCAGCATAGATTGTATTCTTTTAACATTTCTATTGGTTTGCAACTTTCAAACTAAACAAGAAAAATTTTTAAACTTCTCCATTTTATTATCAAACTCTCAGAGGCCAAGAGACATATGTATGCATAGTTAATGTTTCCTCAATATTTTTGGATGGTCTATCAGAACACTGACATTAGGAACCTTGCAATTATTACAAATGCCTAGAAGTAGAACAGGAAAAGAGAATTAACATCTACTGCCATCTCCTATATGCCAGACACCGAAATGTGCTTTACAGTCTCTTTCATTTTATCTACTTAACTAACCTGGTAAAAGTGGTTTTATTTTTATTCACAAACTAAGACACAGAAATGTTAGGTAACACACCCAAGGGCAAGTAGTGGAACCTAATGAGTGCTGTTACTTTCATTACTGGCAAACATTACTGAGAAAACTCCAAAGTTCCTGTATTTTCAATTCCACTTCAGAGAACACCATCACATCTACCCCTGCCACCCACCAACATCATCAACCTCTGACATCTCTCTCCCACACCACTTCCTGCTGCTCTTACCTCTCAATGAGCTGCTTCCCCAAAACAATCTTTGTCCCTTCAACCTTGATAAGTTCTTCATTATCATTATGAATGACTGTCTTTTCCAACTCCTCCTCCTGTTCCTCTGTCATGGCAACAGGATTGGAGGGTGGAGCATTTGTTTGGTAATAAAGGGGACAGAATTTGTTTGTCCTCATGTGCCCAATGGCACCGCAGGCTCCACATTTCAGCTGCAAAAGAAAAAATATCAACTTGTCAGATATAAGCAGGCTGAAATATGTCAGGTAAGCAGGTGAAGTAAAAACAAGGTAAAGGCAGGGTAAAGGCAAAGGAGAAACAGACAGTTTCAGAACTTTTGCTCTAATTAGAATGGTTATACACCTATCAATAGAAGCCACTGGAGTCCATATATGAAAATGACACATGAAAGATAAAATGAAATCCAGAGACTAAACATTTCTTTAAAACATTCAAGTGAGGCATAAAAGGGAAACGATTTTCATTTCCAATGTAAGTCATGAACTGTGACAATATTAAATCCGCAGATGAATGGCTGCTGGAAGTCCAAGCATAATCAGCTAGCTAGCCAGACTCCTATAGGCTACAGTTAAAACAAGGAGAAGGCTCAATAGTATCAAATCTCCATCTCAGTTTTTCAATTGAGTAGCTCGGGTATCCTAGAACTCAGTTTTATTTGTAAAATGGGGCCAATACCATATCACACTTATCTAATATCACATATATAGAAAGAAACATTAAAACATTTAATGACTATACATGTTAATTACACATGTGTTGAATACAATTCATCAAGTGCTTCCCATGATTTACTTCATTTAATACAACAATGTGAGAGACTATCATTTTATAGAAAACAGGTTTAGAGAGGTGAAGATCACAGAGCTATTAAGTGGCAGAACCAGAACTGAATCCAGATCTTCTGTTTCCAAGTCCATGGCTCTTTCCACTGTACCACAGTTGCTTCATTTTATGGTATACTTTACAGTCACATTGCATGGTAATGCCCGGAGTCCTAAATTGGTGGTTTGTTTTGTTTTGGTAATAAGGATTAAACCCAGGGCCTTCACAATGAGCTATATTCTCAGCCCTTTCTATTTTTTGAAATAGAATCTCGCTAAGTCACTAAAATGCCCAGATTAGGCTTGAACTTAAAATCCTCCTGCCTCAGCTTCCCAGAGTGCTAGGATTACAGACATGTGCCACCATGCTCAGCAAGTCCTATCCAAGTGCAAAACAATTTGTATCCTATACATGTTTTAGTTGTGTTGCTTTTTTCCCCTATTACTGGGAATTGAAGCCAGGGGAACTCTACTCCTGAAGTACAACCCCAGCCCTTTTTTAAATTCTGAGACAGCTGCCCAGGCTGGCCTCAAACTTGTCATCCTCCAACTTCAGCCTCCTAAGTAGGGGGATTACAGGTGTGTGCCACGGTGCATGTCTTGTTGCTTTTTAAAATATGTACAATTTTTTAAAAAGCAGGGGATGTAGCTCAGTGGTAGCATGCTTGCCTAGCACGCATGAGCTCCTGGATTTCATCATCAACTATATTGATTCCTCTGAGTAACAAGGCAATAGAAAATTTCAAGCAAAAAAAAAAAAAAAATGTGTGACCCCACACACACACACACACACACACACACACACACACAAATATGCAAGTGAAAAATCCACTAAACCTATTAACTCACAGAAATATTTCAAAGGAAGTATAAGTGACATCTGATAAGAACAGTGACATCAGATTGGGTCTGATGGGTGCTGGAATCACTCACACTATTACTGGTAACACCCAAAGTGCCAAATCAATGCAAACTAGCTTTCCACAATACTGTTCTCATTCTCAATAAGGGAGGATAATGAAAGCTAAGGGAAAAGGTATGAAAGCTAAGGGAAAAGGTATGCTCGCTTGCTTTGTTAAATTGTGGTTATGCCACATTACACTTACTTTTAGGTCAGGACGCTCCTTCATTTTTTTTGGCTTCTTCTCAGGAGGACCCTTAAGCTTCTCCTTTTCCTGGTTCCGCTTAAGTCTCCTTAATTGTTCTTGAATCCTTCGCCGCTCTTTTCGCATCTCTTCTCGATGCTGTTCATCAAAAAGGGCAAATTTTCGACTGAACAGCAGGGGGAGAAAAAAATCACAGGACCATAAGAAACCTAAACCAAGAAGACTGTCCTAATAGCTAACATCTCAGAACTAAAATAATCCGTCCAAGCTGAAATAAAAGGGAAAACCTGCCATTCCCAACTCTCTTTCTAGTCAGCCCTTCATCTGCATAGACTTCTCTCTTACAGTAAGTCCTAAGTAATCCCTAAACTTTTTACCAAACAACCAAATGCAAAGAACCCTGGTAAAATATGATATACCTGGGGCTGTGATGTGGCTCAGTGGTAGAAGTACTCGCCTAGTATGTGTGAGGCTTTGAGTTCAATCCCCAGGAATGACAAAAAAAAAAAAAAAAGGTATGCCTTTACTTTGCAGCAAACATGAATTTTTCTGCTGATATGGCTCTGTTCAAACCCAAAGATGTATAGGCAAGGCGGTTCCCAATTATGACAGACTTCTAGGGACAACTGTGCAGAATCCTATAAATAAAACTCAAGCAATGACCCCTTCCCTACAATTATTATTCTATCATAATTGAAAATGGCAAATAAAACTCACATGAATTCCTCATCTTTTGTGGTGCGTATACGCACATAAGCATCTATGACAGCTGGTTTTCGGACTGTCTCACAGCGAACATACTCTTTCCCTTCTTCATCTCGAAATGTGCGATAAATCTTGAGACAGCGACCGGTGGCAGAGGAGTTAAGGCTAGTCACAGAAGCTGTATCATCATCTCTGTGATTGTTTCCTGATGCTGCTGAGCCTGCTGCTGCAAGGTAGAAAGAGATTTCCAAACATTCCCCCTACCGCTCAAATGGCTGTTTTCTTGGGGTTGAGTGGACACATTGAATTCAACATGCCACAAAACTATGGCTTTAAAGAAAACCTCAAAGTTACCACCAGCCCAAGACTACACTGACTGGTCCTTTCTTGATTTCATTTTATCACCGTTAATTGCCATTTTTACAAGTACAAAAAGTTCCCCAAAATACTCAAAGAACTAGATGTCTGCTAGAGGAGAAAGAGGAGCAGTAGCTATATTCTGATTCCTCTGAGTAAAAGGGCAACAGAAAATTCTAAGCAAGAAGGTGATGATGGAAACACCCAAGCAAGCACCCAAAGAAGGAAAAATGACACCACAGAAGTACGTCCAGAATCTTAAGGCCTACTATATATTTCTCAAAAATTAATATGAATAGGAATCACGGGGGGGGGGGAGGCACTGTTAAAATGTAGATTGTAATTCAGTAGGTCTGAAAAAGACCCAAGATTCCACCTTTCTAACTAATCTCCGTGTAATGTGAATACCTTGGTCCAGACCACACTAGAAAGACCTAAAAAAACCACACTGTGGAAGGGTTATATCACATCTTTACAAAGTAGCCAGAACAATGAAATTACATAAAACATTTACAGAGAGGGAGAAATCAAAAGAATACTAGTGTGAATGAGAACAGTTACTAAAATCTTTATTTTTACTGTTTATCTTCTCAGTATCTACATCCAAGTTCTCAAGTGTCTGACATCTATACTCGTGAAGTTTCATGGGGACCTCAAATCCCACACATTAAACATTCTCTTCCTAAACCTGCTTCTCTGAAATCAATGATACTAACATCTTTCCAGTCAGAGTGAAATCTTAAGGTAGTCTTGATTTTTAACCCTTTCTTCCCCATGTCCCAAACCATTTCTGCTCATTACCATCATCTTCACCTTCAACTTCTGCAATTTTTGGTGATTTTTAAGTCTTTCAGGAGTCTAAGATTCCTTTGAGAATCTTCTGAAAGCCATGAATTTTCTCCCAAAAAAATGCAGATATGCACAGAATTTTACATGTAATTACAAAAGGTTCAAGTACAATCTCCCAAAACTATACACAGATTCTACGTTAAAAACTGTTACCCACAGGCATGTCCAACCTGTGACTTGAAGGCTGGACATACCTGGCTTGCTTGGGCCACACTGAGCAAAGACAAATTGTTGTGGGCTACATGTAAAATATATAGTATAGTTAATGTATATAACCAACGAAAACTTCCTTTTGAAATATATTCTATTATAATATTATAATATATATTATAATATTATAATATAGGCATGTCTAATGCAGGTTAGACTCACCTGGTGAATACTCAGAAAGCACACTTGAAGTAAACACTTATCGCCCTGGCTTGGCCAGGTATCTGATACAAAGGCAGCCTCTTTAATTTGTTGTATACAAACAAACCTAGAGTCTAGATTGTAGAAATCTATCTTATCTGCAGGCTTTTCTTTTCTTTTGTTTTTTGTTACAGGGATCAAACTCGGGGCAAGGCAGGCAGCGGCACCACTGAGCTAAATCCCCGGCCCTATTTATATTTTTTGATCCTGTTCTTTTTTATCTATGAAGCCACTACCCTCACCTAGTAGCATCCGCTGTAGCTCCTTCCGCTCCTGCTCTTCTCGTTCACGTGACAGCTGAGAACTGGTTTTCTTATTCTGTAGCATGTTCTCAATATTCTTTCCCATTTCTTCAAAGTCACTGTCTTCAGCTGAGCTGCTGTCTGTGTCAGTTGATAAGACTTCAGTTGATGACAAAACCCTCAAAAGAAAAAAAAAGTTAAATAAAGACCAAGAGAAATACAAAAGTATAGAGACAGCTAGAGTGAACAGGGTTGTAGACAAGAGTAGAAAACTGGAGAATCAACCTTAAAAAGGCATATTCAAAATCCACTAAGAAATAGAACTTCTTTACAGAGTTTTCACAGACATTTAGTCAACGAGGAAAAGTTTACAAAATTGCCATAACTTTCAATATTCCTGGAGAGAAGATGAGAAACCAGTGCAGGGGTCATTTTTAATAGCACATTACCAGTATCTTACAACTAAGCCTTCAGAAAAAAACCCCTTATCTGTCACCCATTTCTACTGTTATGGCTGTGAGGCCAAGACCAAGAAGGCAGTAAGAGTTGCCCTTGAACATTCACAACTTATGGCAAGCTGTTTTGAAGAGAGCAGGTACTCTAGCAACAGTATAACAAAAATATACTACACTAGTATCTCAGATACCTGATTACCTAGTCATATTTTTAGGTGATCTCCTCTTCATTATAAAACAGGGAACAGGTTGGAGATGTAGCTTAATAGCAGAGTACTTGCCTAGCATGTGCAAGGCCCTGAGTTTAATCCTCAACATCACAAAATTTAAACTAAACAGTATCTGAGACCTCTCTTTCCAGCTTGAATTTTCTGCAGCACTAAAATAACATACTTGTTCTGTAGGTCAAAGATGCGTTGACATTCCTCTTTGTAACGCTCTTGATGTTCAGCAACAGAAAACCTTGATCCACGGGCAAATTTACTCATGGGCCCCTCTCCAGAGCGGGCCTGTTCTGTTGACATTGTACGTACCACGTCAATTACTTCCCAGCGGGACAACTTTTTAATCTAAGAGACATAGAGACATAAACCAAGGCTCCTGATTAGAGAGAGACAGACCCCCCCAAAAAAATCATCCAAAGCAGAGTAAACAGACAGCTTTAGGAAAGCTAACTTCTGAAAAAGTATCCAGAACCTACTACAACCTATAGCACAAAGTTCTGCAGATAGTTCTTTACATCTGCCTGCTAGCCTTTCCCTCGCTATACAAAGCCTTTAGGAGCTCCCAAGTTTCCCTCTTCCATACCCACCTCTTCCTCAGGCACGCCAAATTTACGCAGAAGTTGCTTGGCATTTTTCAGAGAAAGGCGACGAAGGTCTGCATCTGTTCCGGTCACTGTCTTCTTCACTGGCTGAGGTTCCTTATCATCCTACCTCAAACAAAACCAGGTGAGTATCCTGAAAGTCAAACTGGAGATTGAACCCAGGCCCTTTTACCATGCTATATCACCAGCCCTTTTAAATTTTTTTTTAGAGACAGAGTCTCACTAATTCCCTAAATTGCCCAGATTAAGTTTGAATTTGTGATCCTCCTGCCTCAGCCTCCTTGACTGCTGGGATTACAGGTGTGTACCACCATACCCAGCTCTAAAAAGCTGAACTATTCATATGAGGTGTCTAAGTCATTTTACCAACTCCACTACTTTCTAGATCCTCCATACTATTCATCGCCACTTCTAAGTCATTCTTTAATTTTCTACTTCTAGAAATCCAGACAATCTTACCTTCTGCTGTGTTGGTTTGTTTGGAATTTTTACATAGGAGAATCCTTCACCACACCCTGTGGGATCTGCCACCCCAGTCACTTCCAGTAGACACTTGCCCTTCATGGCAGCAATGAAAGCTCTTGTGGTGTTCCAAGGAGCAGTTCGAACCTAAAGTACAGAAAAAGATTCTGAGGCTATAAGAAGCAATTATTAAAAAAAAGAAAAGAAAGAAACAATTATTCTATGTTTAGCCATTACCTAGGAGGGAAGAAAAATTATAATGAATAATTTCATGCTTTCTTAAATTATCTACAAAGAGCAACAGTAAAACACGGCTTCCGGTACTCAGCTCTCTTCTTCCTTATGCTACTTAAATCATGATATTGAATAGAAATTAAGAGCTCAACCAAAGTAAGGAATATTAAGAATGGTGGTATCCTTCAGCCCCATATCCCTAGGACTTGAATGAGTACTCTCAATCACAGTATTACACTTGATCTTAGCCAAAAGGCCGAGAATCTCAATCATAGTATTGCCCCCATACTCATGATACTCAAAGTTTGTGCTTGCTTCAGCAGCACATATACTGAAACTGGAATGATGCTCAAAGCTAGAATGATCACTCTATTTGACTGTCTAATTGTTCAAGTGGATTCTTTAAAATATGTTTACTTTCAAAAGCACTGGTTCCAAACCTAGCAGCATTAAACCAAAGCCCATTCTATCCCTGCCACTGGTTTGGTCAAAAAGCCCATTCTATCCCTGGTTTGGTTAAAAAGTATTTACTGATCCTACAAAATAATTTGAGAATTAAGACAAGCGGTGAATGTGCTTGACCACATAGACTAGTCAAGAGTATACATGACCTGTATGAGGTCCTGGTTTGATCTTCAACATAGGGGGAAAAAAAGAATATACCTGATTTGCTAGAAAATAGTCAATTCTCTATTCAAGATTCAATCATGAAGGCTAATGAAAATAAACCTTAATTTCTGAAATTCTTCCACTCATTTTTCATTCTCATCTCAAAAATGTACTATAATGTTTTATTTTAACTGATATATAAGAAAAGCTACAAATTTATGGGGTATCATGTTTGGGTATATGTATGTATTATATAATGTTTAAATTAGATTAAACATATCTGTCTCCTCAAATATTTATCATTTCTGTACAGTGAAAACAGTCAAAACACTTTCAGCTTCACTCTGACCTCATCTTCTGTTTCTTTTTACAGACATTCGCTCATTTACCAAATGGTTATTGAATAACTACTATATGACAGGGACTACTTTTACATGGACCTTATGTTAGTGAGGGAAAACAGTCAACCCAGGAGGCTCCCTGCCACCATTCCACCACTCGCTCCTAGGGCAGAGGAGGTGAGCCTCGCAGGCACCAGCAGCACA